ACCGAGGAGGGGCGGGACGTGCTGTAGCCTTCAGTCTTCTGTGTCACCTCTGAAGACAGAAACTGCACCTTACCCTTCATACACTGTATTAAAAATCAGGAATTGAACTTGACCCCTAGCCACGAAGGGCAGACACTGTGGCATTCATTGTGCTAGATATCTTCAGTTCCCTCAATGTCTAGAGCAATGAGGCACATTATGTTCTCAGTAGATCCTTGTGCAATAAATGAATAAAGCATACCAGGAAATTGTGGCCTCAAGAATAAAATTAAAATTTTTCGTAAAGAAAACACTTCTAGTTTCCAGTTCCACGTGACCCTGGGCTGGACTGGACCCAAGCCTCATCCCAGCCACGTGGTGGCCCCTCAGTTCAGCACAGGCTTGGGGCATGGCCCCTCAGATACCACCAGGCCCAGGCCGCATGATTTGTCAGGCTTCTGGGGACAGGCGAGCATGAGCACAGGACCACAGGGATCATCTACAAGAAGGAAGAAGGTCATCCCAGCCAGTGTGGCTCAGTGGTTGAGTGTTGACCTAAGAATCAGGAGGTCACAGTTCAATTCCTGGTCAGGGCACATGCCTGGGTTTCGGGCTGAATCCCCATTAGGAGGCACGCAGGACGCAACCAATCGATGATTCTCTCTCACCATTGAGGTTTCTATCTCTCTCCTTCTCCCTTCCTATCTGAAATCAATAAAAAGATATTTTTTTAAAAAATAAAAAGAAGGAAGAAGGTTGGGAGGAGATGAGAGTGGACCAGACCGATGGTGGAGAGGAGCCCCTGAGGGCAGGATAGAGAGACGGCCTGTGAGGGACCCCGCTTCTTGTGTATCCCAGGAAAGAATTCTTTTCCAAAGGGGTGGCCGGTGGATTTCCCAGCAGAGCGGTCTCCCTGCAGGGCTGGAGGGAAAATGCTCCCCCTTTCCCAGTGGGCGGTCCCTCACCACCAGGCACCTCTCCCCACAGGCTGCACCCGCCGCTGTCCCTGGTGCAAAGTGAACACGGCCAAGTTCCCATGGGCCGTGGGCTGGCAGGTGCGCAAGACCTGCTACCGCATCGTGGAGCACAGCTGGTTTGAGAGCTTCATCGTCTTCATGATCCTGCTCAGCAGCGGGTCTCTGGTAAGGGGGAGGCCCTGGAGCTGCACGGGTGGGCCCCCTTGCCTCCTGGGGTGCAGGTCCCCGACCTGTGGCTGGAAGGAGAGCTGCAGCCCAGCACGTGGGCTCCTCCCAGCAGCAGGGCATGGTGGGTGCTAGAGGTGCCCACCTGGCCTGCTAAACCCGCTGGCTGCAGGCATTTCAAGCAGCGAGTGTGTGCATCCCACTGTATAGGTGGGAAAACTGACCTTCAAAGGGCTTAAGGGACTCGTCCAAGGTTACCCAGCTTGTCAGTTACAAAGCCTAACAGCCCTCATAGGATCCCGAGGCCCCTGACGCGCCAGCCACCTTCTGACCCCCAAACATACCGGCCTTCTCTGAAGGCCCAGGACAAAGGATGGTCTTTTTTTTTTAATTTATTTTTTTTATTACAAAGGGTGTTACATATGTGTCCATTTTTTCCCCCCTCCCAAGACAGTCCCCTAGCCTCCCCTATCCCCCAGTGTCTTATGTCCATTGGTTATGCTTATATGCATGCATACAAGTCCTTTGAAAGAGGATGGTCTTTCCTCGTCTGATCAAGCCGCTTGTAAACTGCTGTTACGTGTTCAAAGCTCACGGCCACTCATTACAACAGCACTTCTCAGAATGTGGTCACCTGGGGAGCTTGTCTGAATGCAGATTCCAGAGAGCCGGGCTGGAGCCTGGGACTCTGCATTACCAGCAAGCTGCCCGGCGAGGCCGAATAGCTGTGCCTTGCAGGAAAAGGACACTTCCTAAGCCCCTTGCCGAATTCCAGGCTTTGTGGGACAAGGAAGGATGCATCTCTCTGTCTGGTGGCTGAGTGTCGCTTCACAGCCTCCACTCATCTTCACAGTGGACCAAAGTAGAGGCCAGCACAGGCGGGGACGCTTCGTCCCCAGTTGTCCGCGTTGTATGGGTGAGGAGTCACAGCTCAAGGACCTGGAGGGACCTGCCCAGGGTCCCCGCTAGCTAGTCAAAGGGAGGCCTAGAACTCACTCTCCTGGCTCCTGGCTCCAACCTGGAAACAATGTACTGACTGTCTGGGCACCCACTTAAATGCCAGGCTCCCACACTGCTCAGGGTACAGGTCAGCCTCGGGGCGGAGCAAAGGCAGCTGAGAAGGCCTCATCTGAGAGGAGGGGGTGGCATAGGACGGAGGTAGCAGCGGGCTCCCCAGAGCAGGGCTGGCCCACAGGGTGGAAGGTAGAGCGGGCGTAGCAGCACCAGCAGGGTGGGGACTGTCCACCTAGAACAGCAGTCTCGGTCCAGGGCCGGGTGCAGAGGCCGCATTGCAGGGTAAGAGGAGGCTGGAGGTGCTCTCTCCACACTGACCCTGCCCTCCGTCCTGCCCTCCCTGCTGGAAATAATAACCACATCTGCTGCTGACTGGGGGCTTTCCTCATAACCTCGTCGGCTCATGCCTTCCTCATGGGCCTTCTCTCCTCCACTCTCCCTTGCTCCCTCCCTCTCTCTTCTCCCCGTGTTCCAGCTGCCCCATTTCCCTCATCCCCATCCCCCATCACAGCAGGGAGCTGGGATCCTGCCTCAGCAGCTTTCCACTCAAGTCTCCTTCCCCCAAGGGACTCCATAGGCTGGCACCAAATTTAGTCTTCCTTATGCTTTTACTTTGAGTACTTTTGAAAAAAACAAAACACCAGCATGAGTTTTCATCTGACAAAGTGCAAAAACAAAACAAAAAAAATCCCACCACTTGGAAATGATGGGAAAATGCAAAGAAAAGAGAGCACCCATTTTCCTGCCACTCAGAGAGAATCTCACATCCCTTCGTCCTTGTGCATGTACCACATACACATTCCAAACTGAAACTGCAGTTCTTCACTCTGTCACCTCTCAGGCAGTGTCTCAGTCCACAGGCCCCTCCTCGCTCATGCAATGGTGGCTCAGCGGGGCCGCCTGGGAGAGGAGCCCAGAGAACAGGGAAAGGAGCTAGAAGAAGACACAGGTTTCCAGGAGGTCCAGTCTCAGCCCGGCCCCACGGGAGCTCTGAAGCATAGAGGGCGCCACAGGGCTGTCCCACCTGGAGGCCTTTTTAACCCACAGTCAGTCGCTGGCTGTGGGCTGCCTCCTGAGGGGGCAGGTGACCTCCTAAGGTGGAGGCCGCTTCCTTCAGCCCAGGGCCATCCTCCTGAGAGGGGCATTCCGGAGCTGGCAGCTGCCAACATTCACGGCCGGTGGGGCACGGGCGCTCTGTCCCCTTCAACAGGATCTAGGCGGGGCCCCAGGACATTTTGTGTCCTCAGGGTCAGTTCCTGAAGGCAGAGTTGCTAGGTTTCTGCAGCCTTTGAGACAGGTCACCAAACTGACCTTCCAAAAGAGGGAACTGGCTTTCCCTCCCCTCTGGCCATGCAGGAGAGTGGCTGGCCCCACCCCCACAGCCACACGAACCCGGGGCTCCCCGCCCCCTTCCTTTCTAGCCTCACCAATCTAGAAAAAGAAAACCTGTGTCTTCATTTACATTTCCTTGGTTCCCAGGGAACTCCAGCATCGCTCCAGAGGTTCACTGGCGATTCTTACTTTCATTTCTGTGAACATGCGGAACATCCTTTAATGCTTTTATTCTTAAACCAGGTCCCAGTAAGCATCCCTTTGGTTCACTTCCAAACTCCAGTTTGAGAAGGTTTCCCTTCTCACTTGCATTCAGCTCCCCTGCAAAATCTGAGCACGACCACATGGGCCCGTTGGCTGAGGAAGACCTGGTTTGTATAGCACAGAGAAAACAAAACAATACAGGCCAGCTGGTTACCAGAACCCTCCCGGGAGGGGGGCGCTGGGGGGAGGCAGGCCTGGCGGGGTCCTCCCCCACCACCGGGCCCCAGTGCAGGGGGTCCAGTCCAGGCAGCCGGCCAATCTGTTCCCTTCCTGCCAGGCCTTTGAAGACTACTACCTTGACCAGAAGCCCACGGTCAAGGCCTTGCTGGACTACACCGACCGGGTGTTCACGTTTATCTTTGTGTTCGAGATGCTGCTCAAGTGGGTGGCCTACGGCTTCAAGAAGTACTTCACCAACGCCTGGTGCTGGCTCGACTTCCTCATCGTGAACGTGAGTAGCTCAGGGGGCACACGCGGGGCGTAGGGGCCTCACCTCTGATGAATGGCTGGCGTTGCCCAAGAAAGCTCGGGGGCCTGGCCCTCAAGGGCGGCACCAAAGCCAAGTCTTGAGCACGGAGCGAGGGGTCCGAGCATAGCCCTGTACACCTGCAAGTGGTAAGATCCGGGCAGTGCGTGATTTTCTCACCATGATGAGCCTCAGGAGAGTCCTTGGTTCCTGGCCTCCACCCAGCAAGACCCCTTACTGTCCTCTGTGTCTACATTTAAAACAAGATGGCACCCGAGGCTCCCCAAGGCCTTATGATCTTGCACCCATGGACGGGGTTCTGGACTTAGGGAGCTGAGGCCTGCGCAGCACAGACAATCTGCCCTCCTGCTGGCTTGGTCCTCAGCCCTGGCTGCACTCTAGAATCACCTGGGCGGCTCTTAACACGACAATGAACATTGCTTGGCTGGTTTGGCTCAGTGGATAGAGCATCGGCTTACGGTCTGAAAGGTCCCGTGTTTGATTCCAGTCAAAGGCATATGCCCGGGTTGTGGGCTTGATCCCCAGTAGGGGGACGTTCAGGAGGCAGCCCACCAATGTTTCTCTCTCATCATTGATGTTTCTATCTCTCTCTCTCCCTCTCCCTTCCTCTCTCTCTAAAAATCAATCAAAATATTTTTTTAAAAATACAGTGAACAAACACTGCTATTCCCAAAGACGCATATCTCTCTGGTTCTGGGCTACAGGGTTAGGAGGGGTCCAGGCATCAGTCTTTTGTAAAACTCCTGGACATATCCAATGTGCAGCCAGGATTGAGAACCACTGAGCTAACACCACTGGCTTCTCCTGGGGGCACTGGCGGGAAGAGAGGGTCCCTGTGGAGAGGTGATGAGCTGAAGCTCATATGTCAGACTCACACTAACCTTGTGGCCACTGGCCCTAAAAGCTAGGAGCGATCTCTCCCTTATCTTAACCATTACAATCTTCTTTCTCTGTCCAGGCCTTTGCCCTCTTGGCTTTGCAAGGTGGCTGCCTGTGTCATTTGTGCAGAGTTCACAGCTGAGGGTCCCTGCGGCCGGGGGAGACATGTGTTGTGTCTGTCTCTGCCTCCCCCACTTCAGCAGCCTCCAGCACCACGGTCTGCACATCAGAGGTGTCAGGAAATGTGTCTGTATTTGATATTTGCCTCCTGAAGCTGGATGGGGTCCAGCACAGAACATTCTGTCCGCCTCCTGTGTTGGCAGGTCCTCCACAGCAGGTCTGAGCACTCGAGTCTCTTCTTTCCTGATACCAATGTGCCAGCAGCATCAGGCCACGGTACCACAGCGATTAGCTAGCTGTGGGGCCTGAGATCGGAGTCACACTATTCATAGGCGAATGAAAAATGTTTTCTTCTGGCTCCCCACCCATGTCAGGGGCACAGTCACTCCAACCTACGTAGGTCTCACCAGCTTCAGACTTGAACGCTTTAAATGTGATGATCTGACCATCCATCCTTTCTTCCATACAGCCCTCCTTCCATCTATCCAACCATTCACCCTTCCGTTTTCTTCCTTCCAAACGTCCATTCATCTTAACTTCTTCCCTTTATCGTCTCCATCAGTTTTCTCCCTCTACTCATTCATTCTCAAAATTCCTTTCTCCTTCCCTTCTGCCCATCCATTCATCCTAACCTTCCTTCCAGCCATTTGTCCACTGGTTCTTAATCCTTTTGTCTCCTTATCTTTTGATCCATCCCTCTGTCTAACTATTCAATCACCTAACCTTCTTTTCACTCACTCATGCACCTTCCAACCCAGCACCCTACTACCCACCCATTCTTCCATCTTTCTATTCTTCCTTTAACCAATCCATTTATCCTTTTTTTCTCCTATCCATTTGTTCATTGATCTCTTTTTCACCCATCCATTCATCCATCCCCTGCTCCGTATTTTTTCCTTTATTTCTTCGATTCTCCCTTTCAGCTATCTATAATATCCATCCATCAAGTTTCCATCCAGCTGGTTTTCCTTCTTTCTTTCCTTCCTTCCTTCCATCCCAACATGCCTCTGTCTTTCCTTCAATTCATCAAATGTTTATTTATAACTACTGATTATAGGATTGACTTATGAAGAGCTCTGAGAGAGATAAAGCCAATAAATTAAAACTCCGTATCTCCAGGAGTTTACACTTCAGTGTTCCAGCAGATTAGACACACAGGGAGAAATAAACATAGTATAAGGGGGTATGTGGTGAGCACCGTTGGAAGTAATTAGTATCTTAGGTACACAAGGACAGGAGCCTGCTTCCACCCAGTGGGGTTTGTGGTTAGGAAGCCTTCATAAAGAGGTGGCATTAGGTATAGGGCTTAAAATGAGCAGGAGCCCTAGCTGGTTTGGCCAGTGGTTAGAGCATCAGTCTATGGTCATAGGTTTGATTCCAGTCAAGGGCATGTATCTCAGTTGCAGGCTCAACCCGCAGCCCTGGTGCAGGAGGCAACGGATCAATGTGTCTCTCTCACATCGATGTTTCTTTCTCTCTGCCTCTCCCCCTCCCTTCCACTCTCTCTAAAAATCAATGGAAAAAAATATCCTAGGTGAGGATTAACAACAAAAATGAACAGGAGCATGGAGGTGCAAAGAGGACTGGGGGCGGGGGATGGGGGGTATAGGGTGGAGGGCGGCAATCTTAGTTAAAAGATGACCCTGAGCGGAGGAGCAGACACAGGTATACTTAGGGAACAATTTGATTTGGGTGGAATATATGGGTGAAATATGAGTGGAAAAGTAGGCTGTGGCTGTGGCTGTGGCTGTGGCTGTGGCTGTGCCTGTGGCACTGGGCTAAAGAGTGTGGAGCTCATCCTAAGGGTACTTATCCTAAGTACCAGTGAAGGTTGGGAGTAAAGGAGAAACATGATCATAGTCAGATTTGCAGTGGAGGAAGGATGGGTGCACTACAGGAGCCTAGAGGCCAGCTGGGAGACTAAGTGCCCTGAGTGGGGGGAGCTGGGCTGGGTTTGGGTGGAAAGGCTTTGATGGCGAGACCCCAGCCCCTGGTTGTCCCGGCTGCAGATTCGCACAAGAGCCAGGCTTTCTAGGGTGCTGAGCAAAAGACTGAAAAGGGTCCGGCATAGAGCTGACCTCAAACCTCCCTGCTCTGCCAGCCATGCAGTTGGGTGCCACCTGCTGGTGTCTGGAGCCTTGCACGGGTGAAAGTGGGGAGGCAGGGAGTCCTTTCATTCCAGTTCTTTATCCTGGTGGGATATGCCACCCGTTCCAAGAATAGGCATCTTTTGAGGCTCTAGCACCCAAATATAAATCCCTCCCCTTCTGAAGTTCCGGCGTACATCCCCACCTAACTGCCAGGATGAGCTAAGCCTGAATTCGGCCGGCCAGTCATGGTACAGTAGGAACTCCGAGGACTGGTGCACAGTCTCTAGCAAGATCCTGCATATGGTATCTCCCCAGCACCTTCAGAGTTCCTGGAAGGTGTGACCGTTTTTCCATGTCAGTTTGTGTCCTTTGCAATCCTTGGAGAAACTAACAGACCAACAGTTCCTGTCTCCTTCCACCAGAACTCAGCCGTTATGTTTCAGCTGTCTATCAAAGCTGGCTTTCATGGACCCATGCTAGTCACTCTGACTAAAGAACAGACCTGTAGGGCCTTGGAGTTCTCTTAATCTGACTGTCATTTCACAAAGGGTGAAAGTGCAACCTAGGCTAACATGACACTGACCCAAAGTAAAAAAAAAAAAAAAAATCAGGGGTCCAGCCCTGGCGGGTGTAGATCAGTGGTTGGAGCATCAACCTGGGCACCAAAGGGTGTGGGTTCAATTCCTGGTCAAGGGCATATACCTGGGTTGCAGGTTCAATCCCTGTCTCTGTTGGGGCATGTGTGATAGGCAATCAATCGATATGTCTCACCTCTCTCTCTCTTTCTCTCTTCCTCTATTTCTCTCTTGCTCCCCCCTCCCTTCATCCCTTCCACTCTGTCTAAAAAATCAATGGAAAAATATCCTCGGGTGAGGATTAACAACAACAGCAAAGGAATTAGGGGTGGAGAGGGAACTAGACCCTACCCAGACTAGGACACTTTCCACCTTGTTTTACTGAGCAAATACAATTGAGACTAACTTTATATTCCTCAAAATAAACGTTCACATAACCTCATGAAGGACCATCATCTCTCTAAGTCTCTGAAAGTCAATCAACGTTTCAAGGATGTTGGGGACCTGGTGGTGCCTCTAGAGGGAACGGGAAGGTGGGTTTAATGCACTGGGAGGTTGGCCACCTGCCTAGCAGGGTCTGGCCATGTGGGAGACTGGCTTTTCCTTTCCCAGAGCTTCAGATCAGTGATGAGTGAGTCTTTAATATAAGGAAAGGGACTGAATTGTCTCTGGAACTCTCGTTGGAATCCAGAATAAGGTGGAAGCGAGGACCATGGCTTAGACAGAGTGGGGATGGGAGGGGTTTCCTGTCTCCTTCCACCAGAACCGCCCCTCTGGGACCCTAGAGTGATGTTTGTGCTCTCTGCCCGCACTCAGATATCACTGATCAGTCTCATAGCGAAGATCCTGAAGTATTCTGACATGGCATCCATCAAAGCCCTTCGGACCCTCCGCGCCCTGCGCCCACTGCGGGCTCTGTCTCGATTTGAAGGCATGCGGGTAAGACCCATCTCCAAATGGCTCTGGTCTGCAACATTCGGTAATGCTTCCCCCTTATGCCCTCCAGACCACTGACCCTGAGCTCCAGGCCCTACCCCACAGTCCAGCTCCGGGTCCTCCCTTCTGCATGGACACTGGTGCTGCTGCAGTGTCCCGACTCTCCTCCTAGCTCCCCTTCGGGTCCCTCTGTGAGCCCCTCTTCCCTTCTCACTTGAAACATCACACCTGCCTGGGCTCAGACCTCACTTCTACTCTTACTGATCTTGCTTCATGGCTCCACAGGCATCCCTTACTCACCCTCCACGCTGCCAACATGTCCTCATTGCCAGAATCTTCGCTACATCCCCAGCTCTTCATCTTTTCAGGACAAATGAGCCTCTCCTCTGACACTCATTTAAATGTAGTGACATCATCAGCTCAGCACCTCCACCATGCCCACTAGAATATATCTTCTCTCCAACCCACCACAGTCATGGGTCTTATGGGTTTTTCCTTTTATCCATCCCCGTCCTTACATATCTCTGTCAGCACCCACCTGCCCTCACTGTCTTCCTCAGGGTGGAGTGCTCACACGCCTGGCCCTTGCTTTAGGGGAGATCGAGGGACTGTTCATTTCCCCCCTCCCCTTCCTCATAGTTACAAAGGTCTCCTGGCATAGAATGTGAGATTTTGCCTTCTTCCTCCATCCATGACTCAAAGCAGACATCAGGTCTTCAAACACAAAAGCAGACTTTTAAAATTAACTTGTACCTTTATAAACACTAGGCGCTTATGACTGCAATAGTTTGATATTTATTTTATCTCCAGGTTGTTAGTTTACAAACAGGCAAGTTTGTGAATATGGATTTAGGTTGTCATTCATTCTTAACCAAATACCATATACCATTTCCTGTGTTGTATTTAAGGAAAATAAAGCAAGTTTCTAGAAGTCTGTATGTGCTAGCACAACACATATACTCACACTCCTGAATGAGCATGTGTGTACTTGTAAACTCATCCACCTCCTCAATCTTGAGTGAAGACACTGAAAGCTGCCCTGGATGAAGTTTAGAGAAGGTATAAACCCACTTCACCTGCTCAGTCTTCTGAGTCTGAATTACTGCACTAATTAACCCATTTCTCTTGCTTCCGAAGGCCACTGGCTCTTGAAGCAGCCTGAGTGAGTATAGAAAGAAGTTGGATCCAGCAAAAAGGGGTGAGGCATTGGTGGGGTTCCAGGTCCTTTTGCATTTCCCCCCAGGTGGTGGTCGATGCCCTGGTGGGCGCCATCCCGTCCATCATGAACGTGCTCCTCGTCTGCCTCATCTTCTGGCTCATCTTCAGCATCATGGGCATGAACTTCTTTTCAGGGACGTTTGGGAGGTGCATCAACATGACCAGTAAAGGCTTTTCTCTTGTGTCTTCTACTGTTGTGAATAACGAAACTGATTGTATACTTCACAACTACACTGGCAACCTCTTTTGGGTCAACATGAAGGTCAACTTTGATAATGTTGCAATGGGTTACCTCGCGCTTCTGCAGGTGGTGAGTCCTGAAATCAACCATGTATTTTCCTTTGGCCTCTCTGTAACGTGGAGGGATGGGGGTCTTTCAGAAGATGCTATGTAGGGGAGAGCACTCAGTTTGAGCTGAGGTCATTTCTACAGGCTACACCATGAGGCTAGAGGGCCTTACCAATGAATATGATCTCCCAGAGGTACAGTTAGACCAGTGCGAGCTAATAGGCTAGAATAAAGGATAAGCTTGTCGTGGCATTGTATCAGGTAATGAGCTAGAATTTACAACTTGTACACAA